AGATAGGGAATGGTATTGGACTGATGGTGTCTGTAAACGGGTCAAATCTTAACTTCTCGATTTCATGAAAACGGACAAAGACCAGAGAGAATACCGCATGGCTGTGCATCGTGTCATCGACCCCTCCTGAACGGAGGCATACTGTTCAGCTGATTTTGCATTAATAAGCATCGTATGCTCTGGAAAGTTAGATGAAATGTGAACAGGTATAGATTTTCAAATCATTCAATCTATATACTGATTACCTGCTGTGCCGCAGACAACATTTACATGATTGGAGCAGAGCTTACATTTTGGTTCACATGCAAGATTGTGCTCCTCGAATCCTTTCTTGCACTGACAAGTGCAGTCGACACATTCTGAATACGGGGTCGAGCATTCGGAATCCAAGTTGCACGCGTCGTTAAGGTATTTCGCTAGAACGGGACATTTCGCAAAACTCCTCTCCTTTCGATATCGAAGGATCTACCTTTGAACCGCACGCACGTATTGTTCTTATTAATATAGCCCGTGAGGCACTGGCACCTTCCGTTCAGACACTTTGCATTTTGCAGGCGACAGTGACCGATCCCGATGCCGCAAGGCTCATTGATTGTGACCACTAAAACATGGAGCTGAACGACGTTAACACAGCGACTACTCCTGTTGGATGGGCAATCCGCGTTTAAACGTTTTTATTTTTTTTCAAGTCAATGTGAATGGATGAGCCGCTTCATGTTTAGTAAAGAAAACGAAAGACGATGCAAATCGAAAACATCCGGCAAAGCGAAAACAATGTCACTCAACAATTCCTACAGAAAATAATGTTAACATTACTGAAATACGGGCTGAAGCCTAGATCAAAATTAAAACACGGATTTTTTTTAAAACATCTTTAAAATATTTTCTATCACAAGGTACGTTTGGCTCCAAGAACGGAAACAAGGATTGGCTAAATTTCTAATCAGAAATTGAAAGAGCAATCCCCGTTTATATCGTATCCACAAATTCAACCTTGTTTGCATGTTATGAGTGGCAGCGGTAGCAAAATACAGTCATGCGCCAGAATGAAGTAGTGTCGAGTACGTTCTCTTCGACCACTGCGAAGCCGTGAAAACATGCTGCATTACTAGTATCTTTGTGATGAAGAGTGAGTAGAAAAAGGAGTTTCACAAAACACCTCATGCTTAAGTGAAATTTATCACCAAAAAGGAAACTTTGACGGAAACTTTCATACACATGTTTTAAGGTCCGTATTTTCCTAAAATGGAGTACGATCAGCGTGCCACGTCACTTTATTACTCCATGGGGCAAGTCTTTTTCGGACTGGATATTTAATATTGTGCGAGCAGCATAGTTTTCTTCTGGTTTCGCGCTAAACGGATCAACGTTTATGTGTTTTAAGGCTAGCGCCCAATACCTGATACATTTTGGTACCGTATCTGCCTTATTTTCTAAAAGAAGTTTGACCTTGCGATCGAGATCCAGTGTATGACCAATGCGGCATTGCAAACGGGCAAAACCTGACATAATCGACGTCACTGAATCGTATTTACCCGTGGGGTGTAACGCGAGGCAATGTACCCTCGGAAAAACGCCGGATAGAGTTAAATTAACAGTTTTTTACCTCGCTAAAAAGCGTTGAAATCAAGAAAATATACGTGATACAGTGTACGACAGAGTGTATAGCTGTACTTTTAAGCTAATTATGCTTACATGGAAAACAGGAGGTGCCTTTAAATATGAAGTTATTTCGGCATTAACAGTATCCAAAAATGCAGTCTGCAAATTGATCTAGGCAATTATTTCTTTCAGTACATTTCTGAAATAGATGTCCGGGAAGACACTGGATCTCTAAACGATTAAAACCACATGTGAACACCTCGTTATAGTTTATGAAAAAGAAAGGAAGCAGCGATCATCACCTGATTGGCTGGCGCAACAGGTATGAGTGTTTGGATCGCAGCTGTAGCCTGTTGGGCAGTTTGTGCTTCGAACAAATGGATCACATTCCAAAGGATTCTCTGGATTGAACGGCATGTAGCCAGCTGGGCATCTTTTAATTCCTGAAATCTTAAACGTGACGAAAGCCGGAAACAACAGACACTATAGCATAAATATCTGGACGTGTCTTGACACAGCTGAGGCACTATACCATCCATTCTAATGTACTGAGTTATATGACACACACTTCGCGTCATACTCTACCCTTCAATTTCTTTTGCAGTTTCTTTCACAGAGGTCTCTGCATCTCTGCTCAGTCATTGAAAAGATTCCGACCGAATATAGCATAAGTTATCTCGCAATATAAATCATATTAAACATTCGAATGGCCTCATTAATCTGTTCGCAGTTTTGCGGCCTCGCGCGCTAGAAAATCTTCGGCTGTATAACTTAAGTTCTATAACATTTAGAGTCTGACCCTTACCTTTTTTATTGCGGGTTTGCTAAACAAATAAATTTTTTCCAAACTCTTTAAAATTTGTTCATATTTTCTGTCACATCATTCATTTGTGACGTCACCCCATTTCCTGCTCTCATATTTTCTATATTTCAATGCCGATGTCTGTTCAGATTTTCGTTGCATATGGGCAAACCAATGAAATTCCAGTCAGGCGCGGTGGCACGGTTGAAGAGTAGGCTCAGTAATATGGCGTAATGCAAACCTTCGGTAAGTGGTACTTCCGCCCGAATTTAAGTTACACTGCTCCACCAGGATTTTAAGGGCAACTTCTCCGCAGAACCTTTTTCAAACACCTTCGTTTGGAATTTTCACGGTGGGCTAAATAAGGTAATGCCACGATAATCTGAGCACTCCCCATTGTTTCCCTCATTGAGCACAATACTCCAACTCCCGTTCTCCAGAGCTGTAGTGTTTTTCCCGTAGTCATTGCAGTTTGACAAACATGTGTAAGTCAATACGTATCTTGTTCGCCTAATGCTTTAATTATTTCAGGACAGGTTTCATCGATTCCAGCAGCCTTTCCACTTTTCAAGTCGTTTACTTGGAAGCTTGTGTGATTTAATCTACAAAAAAACTAGTATCCGTACCCTGCTCTATAGGCGAGTCTTCCTGCGGTCACTCGAAGTTACGGAGTTCCTCAAAGTACTCTTTCCATCGGTGAAGCATGTCCTCTGACTCGCTAAGAACACTTCCAGACTTGTCCTTCAGCACCCTTAGACCGCCACTCTTTTAATCTCAGAGGCAGCGGATTGTTTGCCAGAACACTTGGCCTACCGTCTGCAAATTCGGCTCCAGCAACTCCCCGAACTTTTCTCAGAAATTGTCTTTCGCGTTGGTTATTCCTTTCGCTACCACCTTGCGTCCATTTTGTACCGCATTCGAGTTGAAGAATCTTTGCTTACAGGCCACCTCTTGAATGCAGCCTTTATCTCGCTTAGAGCCAGTTGTATCTCTCGTGTTCACCAGAAACTTTTTTCTGACCCCCAGGCGGCAGGCCAACCCGTTCAAATCCGCAGCATTCGGCGGCAGCCTCGAGTATACCACTCTTAAAGAGTTGCCACTCGGTTTTAGTGGTCATTACCGCCATCTGTTAAAACCGCCGTGCGATGCTGTTTGCAAATTTCGCTTTCATGTCCACCGAAGACAATGTTTCCCATTTGATTCTCCGGTCGCTTCTGCCACCGGATCTTAGTATGGTACTCCTTTTCTTACAGCGCAGCGTGCCAACAACAAGGTGATGATCGGTTGATAGCTCTGCAGCTCTTTTAACACGAACATCCATTAGTGGGCGTCTTAAGTCAGACGATAGGATTATCAAATCGATCATCGACTTTTGTGCACAAGCTTCCTGGTACTAGGTGTACTGATGTACTCTTCGATGCTCGAAGAAGGTGTTCGTAATGGACAGTCCGTTGTTTGCACAAAACCGCAACAACTTCATGCCGTTACTGTTGAGGTCGCTAAGGCCGTTCTTTCCAATCACGCCCTTCCACTTTACTATGTCTACTACTACAGCGTGCTCATTAAAATGAAGGAATCCGCAGTCGTCACTTCGTACAGAGCACCCTTACTTCCTCCAGAAAGGGCTCATGTTTTCTCTCCCTAATTGAATATTCCTGGAACAAAATCAGAGGTTTAGCCCGTTGTAGCTTCAGGCGGATGATGACCTCTCTTCCGCTGACATCTTGCATGCAATCATTCCGTCAAGCAGGATGAGTTCGATCAGAACTCAAACTCTAGCCTGAGCGAGAGTTGTGATGTCGATACCTGAATAGAATAGCTTCCACCCGCAGAGGTTCAAGATTCCAGAGCTTTGGCGCCTCGTTGACGAGAGTCAAACAAACTATTTCGAGTCGTTACCTAGCGGCCTCATCAACTAGCGCCTGAACTTTCCCTCTGAGTGAGATGTTCCCATTTCCGATATAAATTCCCACTGTCGGCATCGTTTTGGTGGAGCTTTATCTGGCGTGCTATAATGACACCATACTTTCTGTCTCCTGCGATCAGAACGTATAGCGGCTCAGTTGCTGACTGATATTTTCTTCGTCGAATCTTCGGCAGCCTTTGTTGTGCAGCCAAGATCCCGGTTGCCAGAAGGCGGGTAGCAGGTTCTCTAAATCTTGACAGGCTGCACGACACGGACTCTGTCGATGACAGAGCCGGTGTAACGTTTGATGGCGGCAATGCCATGAGGGGCAAGTGACTGAGGCTTACTAGAAACATCGACCCGGTCTTCAGCCCTGCTCATTTCTACTCTGGACTCGAGACCGGCAACGGTAGAGTTAGTAGAACTAATGAAAGTCCTTTACCCCAGAATCCTTAAACTCTTGAAAGGTTCAAACGACCTTCCAGACCATCCAATTAACCAATAATGATGTTTTAAAAAAATTTCAGTCTGTTATTGTCAAGGCGGTCGTCTACACGTCTCACCGGCACTGGCTTTTTCAGTTCTTGACGAATTGTCATTTAAAACTCCACTTAATTTGTGCGCCACTGCTGTCAATATTGATGACATCGTATCAGAAACAAGCGCAATTTAGAGTTTAAGTTCTTGGCCCTTGGCAGAAAAAGAAGGCGCAAAAAAGCGCATAGTGAAATATCAGAACTTACCAGGCCCTGCACAATTGCCACTGTTGCAAAACACTTCTGAAATACAGAAAATAGTTAATCTCGAGCAATGGAATATGTGATTTACGGTTGGCAAAAATGAAAGCAGAAGTAGTTATGACGTTTGAGCTAATCAGCGCAAATCGATTTGGAACTCAGGCCATGACCCTTTCAAAATAGAGAACTCGTTTACGTAGCGTAGGACAATTTGCGACGCAAGTACGAGCTGGTATGAGAGAGAGCTATATAACGAGGTCTATTCGCTTAAACGGCTGCAGTAGTCAATAAAACTAATCAAAAACAGTTATTATCGATCACTATGGTTCTAGAGACCCGAAGAAATGAGTTTTCTTTCGTGCTTACTCGAGGTGAATAACGTTTGCTTCATGGTAATCACATCTTGAATAATTCATCCCTAGGGATGGTTAGTGATTGATATGTGGTCAACCGAAGCACAACGGTGAAAGAGCGTCCGTGTGCGCCAATATAAAATTGCTCATTGAGAAAGGCACGAAATTCAATTGCTTTACTTTTTCTATCAGTTTGATTTG